TCGGCGCCCCGCCCCGCCAGCAATGCACCCGCCGGGCTCAGTCCACCAATTGCAACCCGCCAGCTCACCAGCCAGGGCCACGTCTGCCCAGAGTGAAGGCAGCTCCCATGATGAAATGTGCAGGGTTACACAAGCAAGAAGCAAAGTGCTGAGGCATCCTCCCTCCCAGAAACTCATCTGGTTTTCCCAAGTGAATGTGGTAATGACAAGGGCTGGGCGCCGAACGTGGGCTTGCTCAGCTCTGCGGGGCCCTTCTGCACCCCGCTGTGGTCCCTGCGGCTAGCGGAGGGCAGCCGTGCCATGGGCCTGCTAGAAGTGCGAAGAGGGCTCGGGCCCTGCGCTGCCTGGCTGGGGTGGGTTGCACAGCATCATAGCAGTGACAGCCTGGGTTGGGCCACCCGCCAGGGAGCACCTATGGCTCCTACATAGCGTGAAGCTGGGCGGGGCTGCAGTCTCTATGGGGTGCTCCGGTCGTCCCCCCCTTCCCTGGGTTGTCAACTGGACTAATCGATAGACGAGTCAGCGACTACTCCCCCCTCCCCCTGCTGCCTTTGTATGAGAGGCAACTGGGCGGAGCAGGAATCGGTGCTGGGGGAGCCAGCTTAAAAGCTGCGAGGTGCCACCTGCCCCCCACCCTTGCACTGCTGCCTCTATCTAGGGCAGGGGAGGCTGCTGCAAAGCAGCCCCTGTCCATGGCGGCCCAGGCTCACTGGGGCAGAGGCTGCTCTGGAGAAGCAGCCCATCCTTGGGACGTCCCAGCTCCCCACTGCACGCCCGGTTCTTACCGCATTTAAACTGCAGAGCTCCCGGACTCGGCGCGAGTCAGGACTGAGGAAGCCTCCCCTTCTCAACCAATCACACAGTGGCTAGCATCTGGATTGACTGCACGACTGGTGAATTACCCACCTCTTCCCAGCCCTAGTTCTAGCCTGTTGACGGAGGAACAAGAGGGCCGCCTCCTACCTTCGACTTGGCACCATTCGTCTGTAACGTGGTCACTTCCGAAAGGCCACGTGTTCACGGATCAGTATGCAGAACACTGGCCTCTGACAGCTGGACAAGGAAAGGGGACGCGCACGGCACCAGCCACCTCTCTGTGGCAGTAGAGACAGAACAGGCTAATTACAGTCACTGACGCCTTCCGCCCGGACTCAGTTTACAAGAGTACCTGGTAACAGCTTTGATTGGACCAACTTCCTCCAGCCAGCAAGCAAAGAAATCACCTTGGAGCCCAGGGCATGAAGGCAGAGTGGAGACCCTGGGCCCAGGCAAGAATGGAGTATCCGGTGTCAGAGGGGCTGAGGCAGCTGGATGAAGTTGCACCGAGAGGCGCTAGGAGGTGGCGCACAGCACACAAGCTGCTGCTGAGCCCCAGGGGAACACTGAGTGTTGTGCCCAAACTAGGCTCTGCTGCTCCCTCTCCTCTGCGTCTTCCCTGGCCCCATCCTTAGCCAACAGAAGCTACAGCCAGTGTGTGTCCCTCTGACACAGCATGAGCTTCCTGTCTTGTCCCATCTCCATCCTGGCACACCTCACTCCCTGCGACCCGGGGGAAGGGTCTGTAGTCAGCCCCGAGTTGAGGGCTGTGTCAGCCTGACCACTCCGCCACACTGAGAAATTAGTTTGTCACAATTCTTCCCCCTCAGCTTCCCATCCAGCCTGCCCTGAGACCGCCTCAGACACTCTTAAGCCCGAAGGCCCCCCAGCGTGTAGACAGGCGAACGTGCGCCCCGGGGCCTAAGCGAGACTCCCACTAGTGGAGAAAACACTGAAAAAGCTGCATTTCAAGATGCCAAAGCCAGGGGTGGGCCTGGTGCCCTCACTCCCACAGGCAGGACTGGTCTCCTCTCGGAAAGCTGGCAGGAGGGCTGCCTGCTCTGGCAGTGCTGGCTCTCTGCCCCCTCTACAGCTGGGCAGGACTTTGCAGGTGTGTGGGCTGAGGTGGCACTTGTGACGATGCATGCCCATAGTACTAAGTCTAGTCCACACGTCCCCTCCCACAAACACGCCCTGCGTATACAGAGAAACCTGTTTGCACAGCTAGACAGGCCAGGGCTGCAAACGCCACAGGCAAAACTAACTCCCGAGCTAAGGAGCTGGCAATCAGGAGAAGCAAGCTGCTGCTGATCCCCAAGGAAACACTGAGCGTTGTGCCCAAACTGGGTTCTGCTGCTCCCTCTCCTGCACCAGTCTTCCCTGGCCCCATCCTCCTTCCAGGGGCCAGAACCAACCTGTGATCTAGCCCGGCTGCCCTGAATGTTCAGTCCGTTAAGGGCAGTCCTGAAAAGGGCAGCATCTAGGCTACAGAACAGCCACATTGTCTGAAAGGGCTGAGGCCTGCCTGGTTACTAGCACCTCCTGGGGGCACTTAACCTGAGAGACACGGGACGAAACCAAAACAGTTTGCTGTGTCTCTCAGCACCTCAGGCGGTCAGCTCAGCCATGTCCACCTACCCACTGGCCTCAGATTATCAACCACACAAGCAGGGAGCAGACAAATGCTTCCCAGCCACCCCAGGAGGGCGACTGTAGGGGAAATGGTAAGGGAGGAGGGACTCACTGGCTCCAAGAAACTGGAATGAATGGAAATTAGTCCATTTAAAACTGACAGCATGCCGTTAAGGGACCTGGGGCTTGCAAAGTCCCCACTGCAGGTCGTCAGAGGGAAAGCTCCTTCTCAAGCCATTCGGAGTTTGTGTTCAATCCATTAGTCCTGGGGGCTAACTCACTGATTCATGGCTCTACATCTAGGCACCTGTTAGCAGGAAGCATGAGGCAGTGTGGGGGCAGAGAACAACATTATTGGGCACACAGACACCTTCCCTTCTCCCCTTATGGGACTCGTGTTCATACCTCAGCAATGTGGCCTGGATTGCCACAGAAAGCCCTTCCTGTTCTGCCCCAGAGTTCAACTGACTTTCTGTTATTGCGCCCAACGGCGCTATATGGAGAAATTAACCACAAAATATTCTGGATGTACCTAAGAAGCAGGAAAGCAGTAAAAGACTCAGTGGAGCTGGATCCACAAGTACTAAAGGAGTAAGAACTTTGCTAAGAAATCATGTAGTTTTTCTGCAGCAGTCTTCACTCCAGCAAATGGGAAGGGGCGGTGTTTCCGCCTGATATGCTAAGAGGTGTTGGAACAAAGTGATAATTAAAAACCCAGCCCCAGATGTACATCCAGGAATTCTGAAAAGTTGTAATATGCAGATGAGCTTCCAGGAAGAGTACGCGGTATCCTTGACCCTGCGGGTCTCACGGCGCGGGGGTCGCACGTGTCGTACCTCTACTTAAAAACAGTTTCCAGGGACGGTCCGGGCTGAGTGGCAGCCCGGGAGAGAGAGGGGTGAGCTTCCAGGAAGAGTACGCGGTATCCTTGACCCTGCGGGTCTCACGGCGCGGGGGTCGCACGTGTCGTACCTCTACTTAAAAACAGTTTCCAGGGACGGTCCGGGCTGAGTGGCAGCCCGGG